CCACCAATGTGCCCAGCAACATCCATTCTACCTTAGTCGGCTGAATGGGTCCACTTGTGCCAGTGTTGCCCAGGCTGGGCCAGCAAACTGCTTTCAGACTTACAGTGTCCACGGGATAGTCAGGGCTGCGAATCAGAGAGAAATAGTAATGTTTTGCCTTTTTTTTTTTTTCTAATAAGAGTCCACACTGAAATTGGGTGGCAGTGCATAATCAAAACAGCACACGTTTTGATTCCCACCACTTAGGTTTAAATTCTAGCCATGTGACCTTGGGCTCTGAACTTCATCTGTTCAAGGGGACATGAATACTGATTTCACAGGTCGTTGCAAGATAAAATGAAATGAAAGTGTTTACTACTTAGCACAGTGCCTGGAACCTAGTGAGACTCCATGAATCGTAGTGATTATTATTATTATCCTTAATAAACTGACAGCTAGGTCTGATTTCTGACGAAGTTTTCACGTAAGGTCACTATTACACTTGAACTTAGCCAAAAGGCCAAGAAGCAATAAGGTCACTATCAGTAGTACTAAATTTAATTTTTCTTTTCTTCTCTCTCTCTCTCTCCCTTCCTTCCATTCCTTTCCTTTCATCTTCTTTTCTTTTTCTTTTTTTTCTTAATTATTTTAGCCTGGAGCTGTCCTTTGTAGAAAACGGAAATCAAAGGGTTTGTCTACATTTTAAGTCAAAATACTCATTTCAAAAAACCCAGCTAGAGATGGTAGATGTAAAATAGATTTTCAAAAAATTTCACTCTAGAAGTTCCCACTATGACTGGGAAGCAACAAGAGGCTGCAGCAGGAGAAACGCTTTCCAGAAAGCTGGAGGAGAGGCCCTGGCCTGACTGCGCGTTGCCCTGGCAACAGTCAGGCCCGGAGGGCCTCAGCCCCTGATCCCTTAATCTGAGGAGCTGCCACCGCAGTGCCTCAGGAAAGGTCTCCCACAGACACCTGGCGAGTTCACGCTACACTGACTAAAGAGGGATGTAGAAAAGATGGAGACGTGGCTCTTTCTGTCCACGATAGCTGCCTCCGGGTCTCCCTGGTGCTCCCGGCTTTTCCAGATTGCCAAGGGTTTAGTTTAGAGAATCAGGCAGCAAAGTCTCCACCGGATTCTTAGTGCTGTCAAGGCAGCGGATGGTTTCCTAATCCTTTTGTGTTTCTCCATGGAGCCCCGCACAATGCTTTGCACACAGTGGTGCTTAATAAATACTGGGGGGCTGTCTGACGATGAGCATCCCCTAAGGTGCCAGCCCCTGTCCTTGTCGCATTCGCTGCCTCTAGGAGTGAGCTGCACCGAGGACCCACTCAGGCCACCCGACTCTTCGGTTCATTTCTCCAGCTGTAAGAGGGTAGAGCTTGACTCTAAGGCTTTTTTCTCCCTTTAAAGTTCTTTTTTATTCTCTTACCACATTCATCATTTTGGCAAACACACAGAGCATGTTCTGTTTGATATATTCTGTTTTCCCCAATTTTATCTTAAGTTAAAAAATCTTTTGGGAAGCTGAGGCGGGAGGATTACTTGAAGCCAGGAGTTCCAGACCAGCCTGGGAAACATAGCAAGACCTCGTCTCTACAACAAATACACAAAATTAGCTGGACATGGTACCATGGGCCTATAGTCCCAGCTACTTGGGAAGCTGAGGCAGGAGAATTGCTCAAGGAGTTCGAGGTTGCAGTGAGCTATGATCAAGCCACTGTTCTCCAGCCTGGGCAACAGAGCAAGACCCTCTCTCTCTCAAAAAACAAACAAACAAACAAAACGGAGCCAAAACGGAATAATTTAAAAGAAGCGCTGGCTTTTCTCTTTTCAACAACGCTACAGGTCCCAAGGAAAGAACTCTGTGGCCAAGCACATGGGCTTTGGAGTCAAAGACTTGGTTTCAAATTCTAGCTCTACCATTTGATTGCTGTGTGACTTTGGGCCTATTTAACTTCCCTGAGCCTCAAGCTCTTCACCTATAAAATGGGTGTAATGATACACACATCAGAGTTATGAAGTAATGTATGTAAATTCTTCAAAAATAAGAAGCATTCAATAAATGGCAGTTATTCTTTCTGGCACACAACTCCAGGGGGCTAATGGCAACTTAGGAGTCCGAAAGTCTGACTTTCTAATTATTAATAAATTAGGGCACCCTAAGAAGGCACTGTAAAAAGGTACCAGAAAACCCAGAGAGGGGAAGTACCACCTGCTGCAAACTCTGGTGTGTGGCTAAGAGGTGAATTTAAACCCTGTCCACCCCGACATCAGGACCATGCTGGAGTTGCCTGTGTAGTTTGATTTGAACTTCCTCACACCAAAAGAAGCTTCTTCCTGTTGAGGAAATTTCTTTCTCATAGATTCATTCTTTTAGGATATAACCCTAACCTGAACTTCTGTTTTACTCAGTTAAATCGCCATTAACCATAAGCCAATAATCAAATTAGTAAACTTTCACTGAGACCCTAGTATGTGCCAATGTCTTTGCTATGTATTCTTTCTTATTTAAGCACCAGAACAATGGGAACTTTATTATCTCCATTTAATAGAGAAGGAAATTGATGTTCTGTTAATTGACTTGTTCAAGGTCACAGTACTATTAAGTTTAAATTCATATCAGTTTGATTTTAGGGGCTATCTTCTATTTGATGTTGGCCTCTGACGTTAGCAGAGATTAGGGCAGGTGGAAAGTGAGAATCTTGGTGCATTAGGGGGGTCAGGCCAAGGTGGGGCTCTCAGGAAGGAGAGGCATGGGGGAGGTCACAGTCAAGGAAGGTAGGTAGAGTACAGAGAGCCCCAGCAGCCCAGCTCTGCATAAGATGTGCCAGTCCTGAGATAACATTATGTCTCTTGAAAGACTTCAAATGGTATCCAGTATCCCAACAGAGAAAGACATAAAGGTCCATGAACAGGAATAGGACTGTTCTAGTTGATGCAATAAATGAATTTTTTTTTTAAAAAAGTACCAGTCTTTGACTATATTTGCTTTAATTCTTTCAAAAATAAGATTTCCTAGAAAAACTTCTCAAGCACCACTCCCACTTGACCCCATGGTGGCCTGGTAACTTCATATAACAAATGAAGTTACTCTTTGCGTTTCTAACTTGGATTCTACCCCAAATTGCCATGGTTTTCCACTTGAGTTGAACATCTCCAGCACTCTTTGGTCCTCCAATTCCAGGACTAAGAAAGATCTGGGGCAGCAAGAGTCCTCCACAAAATATTTCCCCAAATGCCTCTGCTAACATCTCTTGGAGGCTTCAGATATCCCAGTGTTCAAAAGAACCATTTCCCCTGCCATCCCTTCAACCTCCACCCACCATTCTGTCATCTGTGATCTGTCCATGGAACATGCTGGTTCTCCCATGTCTGACTATGTTAGGTTTCCTTGCACGTCGGATTTGGTCCTGTGATATCTGTTGTATCACGTCTCTCTCCTGCTCAACAGTCTTTAATGTTTCAAGATCCAATTCAAACTCCAAAGCCGTGAAGTCTTAGATCCAAGACCTTCTCCGCACCCCTGGTCTACTCCAGGCCAACATTCGACCCTGTTGTTCCTGCACAAGCCCTTTCTCCAGTTCAGTGGGTTTAATCCATCACTGCTTCCTAATCATAGGTGGAACCTACTTCCCACACTTTTGCTTTTACAACTACCCCCACCAAGAAAGCCCTCCTCATTTTTCTCATCTATGGAAATCCTCCCCATCCCACAGGCCCAGCTCAGATTCTTCCTCGGGGAAGCGATCCTCGCCTCTGCAGGCCCCCTCCACCTGGCACGCAGTGCTTGCTGCACGCTACAGTGCCTACCTGCTCCCATATCTACCCTGGCTCTCCAGCTAGTGCTGGAGGTCTCCTTGGGATTGGCCTCCCCTCCAGCCCTTCAAGCCAGCCCAGGCCTCTGCTCCCTCCTCTGGCTGCCATCCCTCATGTCCTACCATCAATTTAGAAATTTTCAGCGTAAGTGAAGTTACATCCTTTCAAATGTGAGCTCTTGGGCCATCATTTCCCCTCTCTCTGTGCCTCAGTTTATGCATCTTTTATAAAGGAGAGGGAGCTGACATCTCCGTGGTCCCATGAAAGTCAAAAATGTATCATCTTCTCCCTCCAAATCCTTCTTTGAACCCCCTTCTATAATATTAATAGCATCGCGCCACGACTCACAGGCCCAGCTTCAGCAGCGCCCTCCTCAGGCCAGTCTCTGCCTTCGGGGAAGCGCAGCCTCCCAGTGAACGGGGCTGAGCCCGCACTTTAGCCGCTGTGAATTGTCCCTTCAAATGGCCTGAATTCTCTCTGGGTCACTGCCAGGCCTAGCAGCAGAGTGAGAGTAAATCGCTCTGCAGGCAGTGTAATACGCCTGCATTTCTCTTTCTATATGAGAGAGAAAGCTAGAGAGTGATCTGAAATGAGTGAATTACCTACTAAAAACCAGGGTTTGTTAGTGTATTCAACAAGTCTAGAGAGTAGCTTTGGTGCAAATAAATGTTCACATAAATGTTCTGACTGGTGCCTTTTGTGGCTTCCCCCAAGACTGGCAACCAGGGGCCCTCCGCACCCCCTTTCCTAGGCCCTCCAGCCAGCCCACTCCTTCACCAGCTGCACTTTTAGCTGGACAGGAAAACTAGGGCCCTGAGGGAGGTGTCCAGCTTTTGCTATCAGTCCTTCTTTCCAGCTCATTCCAAAACTGCCCCTGTCCGCGGCCCGTGCTAGTCCACTGGGCCCTATTCCGTCCTGAACACTGCCGTCCTCACAGGCCCCAGGCACACTCAATGGTCTGCAGCCAGGAGCTTCCACCCCTCCTTAGACTCATTACTTACTACTCAGGCTGCTCAGTCCCATCTCTCCTTTTCAACTTTATGATCCGCGGGATCAGCGTCTCCTTCACCACCCAACACTGGGAGTGAGCCCTGAAAGGGACCCAAATAGAGCCTGTCGACTGACACTAGCACATGTCCCTCGGGTTACCTTCTCAACCCCTCCCCTTCAAAACCAAACAAAAACGGCAAACAGGAAACGCTCGTCTTTTAAAAATTACTCTATTATTATCAAATAGAACCACAGTATCCAAAAAGTAATTATAAAGTTCTATCCCCAACTAAACGGCCCTGCACCGCCCCTCCGAGTGGCCGGCGGCCAAATCACTCCCCCCGTGCTGATTGGTTTCATCCATTTTATTGTCAAGGAAATTAACAGCCCGAAGGGGTTCCGCAGGTCCGCGCCCTCCCCCCTGGGGCCCCGGGGAAATGCGGCAGCAAGCGACCTGGTCTCACTACCCCCGTGTCCTTGGGAGGAGGGACGAAAGGAAAGGGGGGCTCACAGCAAAAGGGGCTGGGGGGACGCCCCGCCCCCGCCCGCTGGGCTCGGGCCTGGCGCGGCCGAGGCAGGTGTCCGGGGTGAGGGGGCGCGGCCCGCGCACCTGGCGGCGCACCTGGCCGGGCGGCGGCGGCGGCGGGGCGCGCGCTCACTCGCCCGTGTGGGTCCGCAGGTGGTACTTGAGCGACTGCTTGTAGCGGAAGCACTTGGCGCAGTGCGTGCAGGGGTAGGGCCGCTCGCCCGTGTGCGCGCGCTGGTGCTCCAGCAGGTGGTGCTTCTGCGTGAAGCGCTTGCCGCACTCGGCGCAGTGGTAGGGCCGCTCGCCCGTGTGGATGCGCCGGTGCTCCAGCAGGTGGTGCTTGCGGATGAAGCTCTTGCCGCACTCGGGGCAGGCATGCGGCCGCTCGCGCGAGTGCACGCGGCAGTGGTTGGTGAGCTTGGACTTCTCGCTGAAGCTCTTCTCGCACTCGGGGCACTTGAAGGGCCGCTCGCCCGTGTGAGTCCGCTGGTGGCGCAGCAGGTGCGACGGGCGGCTGAAGCTCTTGCCGCACAGGCTGCAGATGAAGGAGACCTCGTGCTTGCCCGCGTGCACGCGCTGGTGGATCACCAGGCTGATGTGCAGGCGGAAGCTCTTCTTGCACTCGGGGCACGTGTAGGGCCGCTCGCCCGTGTGCGTAATCTGGTGCTTGGTCAGGCTCGACTTGTGGCTGAAGCTGCTGTCGCACTCGGGGCACTTGTAGGGCTTGGGGCCGCCGCCGCCACTGCCCGAGCTGGGCGACTTGGGGCGCGGCTTGAGCGCGTGCTTGGGGTTGAAGGCGGGCCCGCGCTCGGGCGAGGAGTAGCCGCCGCGCACGCGGTGGATGCGCTGGTGCAGCGTGAGCTGCTGCTTGTGCCGGAAGCTGATCTCGCACTCGGAGCACTCGTAGGGCCCCTCCTTGATGTGGTTGCGCTGGTGGATGATGAGGTTGATCTTGAGCCGGAAGCTCTTGCCGCACTCCATGCAGGTGAAGGGCCGCTCGCCGCGCCGGTTCCGCTGCTGCTGGCTCGAGGCCCCGCGGTTCTCGCTCAGGTGCCGCTCGCCATGTGCGGGGGGTGCCAGCCTCTTCACCGCCGGGTTTCCCAGCTGCAGGGGCGGCGGGCTCTCCTCGCCCTCGGGGGACATCTCCCCGGGCAGTGAGGACTGGTACATACTGGCCTCGTATCTCCCGGACAGCTGCCCCAGGGACTGCAGGTGCTGCGGCAGCTCATCCTCCTCCTCCTCTTCCTCCTCCTCATCTTGTTCCTCTGTCTTTATCACGATTCCTTCTGCTCCAGGGACAGAGAGAGAGACAGAGACAGAGACAGAGAGAGAGAGAGAGAGAGAGAGAGAGAGAGACATTAGATGTTGCCTAGAGCCCCTAACCTGGAGTTATAGCAGCGCATCACCCTCACCAACAAACACTGCATTCTTGGCCCAAATTCCTTCTTTTAGGAAAATACTCCTCTCCCTGCGGCCAGTCGTTCCCCCAATCACGGGGCTGCACGTGCAAGCCAGGCTGGCCTTGGTGTTTGGTTCAGGAATGAGCCCAGACTTCAAATGGCCACTCAGAGTCCTCTCTTGGAATTTTATGCCGAGGACACAGGGCAGATTGATTCTTGGCAGTCACGATGGAAAGGTGCTCATGGAGTCCTACACAGCAGGGAAGAAGGAAAGCAGCACACCGAGCCACCATGGGAGCACCCAGATCCAGCTGAGCCTGAGGTTGGCGTATTCATGATCCTACCAATTATTTGACTGATAAACACCCCTTTGCCATTTAGGCTACTTTGAGAGTTGGGTTTCTACCAGCTGTAACAAAGGGTCTTGACTCATAAAGTTCTCAGTCTTTTCCCCTCTAAAGACTCCTCTGCCAGAGCTCTGCCAAGTGGTCTTCCACTTTCTTGAACCCACTGGAGATTTCTCCTCACAGAGCCTTTATTCGCCCTCCTCCAGAAATCTTCCCTCTTCTCCGAGTCTCCGTGTCTGCCTTGATGATCCCAGCCTATAGCACTCAAGCCTCCTCTGAGCCCACAGTGGTGGGGTGCCCCTCCCGGAGAGTCAAGAACTCAGCCTTCTCCCGTCACATCTCATGGACGGATGACTCACCCACACAGGCAGGCCCTACCAGCCTTGAAGCTGGATCACGTGGTTTTTCTTGGCCTTTCCCACAAGCTCTGGTGTGTATGCCGTGCACACCCCAGCTGATGGATGCCCACCCTCCCTCTCCCCAGCCTGCCACCCTCTAGCCTGGCCCTTTAAGGCCCAAACAATGATAAGTTCTACAGTGACCCATGAGAATGCAACTCTTAGAGAAAAGGAGTGACCTCCGGCTCCTGTTTGAGTTTTCTCAAGTGCCTTGTATTTATTTGGCACTCCCTAAATACCGTTAATTGGGGAGTGCTATTTTTAGTCACTGTGTGCCAGGAGAAAGTCACTCAACTTCTCTGAGCCCATCTTTGAGACACAATAAGTTTGGATTTGCACAATTCTTAAAAACAAACAAGTCTTTTTTCAGAGCACTTTCACACCTGTTCTCTCTTTCCATGTGCACAATATCTTACTATAGGATAAGTCAAGTAAGAATGATCCCCATTTCAGAGAGGAAGCAGCCAAGCCAGGAGACAACAAGTGATGTTTCCAAATAGAGTCAAGTCATAGGCCTTTTCCGAGGTACTTTAGGGCCCATCTAGTCCACCCCTCAAGTGACAGCAGGGAAACTGAAGCTAGCAACGTTCAGGACTCCTAGGCCATAGCACTTTCTACTTCTTGTTTAAACTATGGTGTTAAAATTAGGACACAGGTGTGCTGCCTCAGTAGTGTTAGGATTTTCAGCAGGAAGTGATCCTTGGAGCATCATGCCTAAGGGATCAAGGAGGAGGCAGCTGCAGAGGCTGGTAACTAGTTGCCCTAGTGTTTATCCTGAAAATACAGAGTTATGTATGAAAGGCAGAGGGGGAAATAGGACCCAAAAAGATCTAAACTCTCCTTGAACATCAAAGTTGCTTTTTTCTTAATGAAATGATAAAAATGAAACATTTGGCCCTAAATCAAGATTCAAAATTCCACAAACTACTGTTTAGTAGTTTTCTAAGGTTCTACTAGAATTAATGGGGAATGCTCAAATGGCAATCTGGAATTTATATTATGACACTCCCAATATAGCAAATACTAAGAATTTTCCTTATGTCTTTTCCCAATTCTTTTATGAAAGACAACGTGGTATGTTTAAAAGACTTCTGAAATACCACGCAGCAATTTAAAGATAAGAAGTCGGATTCACATCTTTTGACAAAGAAGGATGTCCATGACATTTTATTAAGTGCAAAAAGGCAAATTATATATCTGTAGATAAAATGAAAAAAAATTCAACTCAACATAATACTTTAAAAAACCTAGATAAATGGGTGTGGATACATTTCTAAATACAAAAAATAATATACAAATATGTGATGGTTAATGACTCACACATAAACAAAACCCCAAGTGGATTCTACCAAATTTTCAAGGAACACACTTAATTCCTACCTTACATATTTTTTTTTACAATATAGAACAAGAGCAAAAGCTGCCCAGTTCATTTGATAAGTCTAATATAACACTGTTTCCAAAACCAGATGAAGATGATTCAAGAAAAGAAAATTCAGGTTCATTTATATATGAATATAGTTGGAAAACTCCTGAGTGAAATATGTTACCTAAGTCCAATTGTGTATTCAAACAACATGCCATGATGGTCAAGTAGGGCTTTTCCCAGGACTGCAGGAAGAGTCCAACACTGGAAAATCTATCACCAAACCAGTCCTGGGATGAGTACACAGGAAACCCACTTCCTGACTGTTCTCAAAGTCACAGGGAGCAAGAGTGAGCAGAAGGCTCACTCACATGGAGGCTTTATAACTAAACACAAATGATGACTAGGTTCTACCAGAGAAAGCCAATACTGTAGTCATTTTAAAAACATGCTCTTCAGGACAGAAATCTTCAAGTTAGTTGAGGCTGGTAATATGATATGTGTAGCAATCTAGGACACATAGGGAGAGGGGAGCTCAAGCTTTGCCATGTCTATGTGGCCTTGGACATTTTACTTCTGCCTGTAGAATGCGGGGTTTGGACAGATGATCTCCAAGGTCCCTGTGAGTCCTGTCTGAACCAGTCTTTGGATGTAACAACTTCTTTCCTAGCCCGAGACAGATTCTTAGAAATGGTGAGGCAGGAAACCTGCACCGGAGGCCGTGCTTGGGGTCCTTTCACACCTGTCATCCCCTCTGCCTCCAACTACCTCTGAAGGAACCACAGCTCTCCTGTGAGGTAGGTGCTTACGAGGGGGCCTAATGGCAGCGGCACCGCCCCCACCCCCGCACTTACCTGTGCAGCTTCTCTGCTGCACCAGCATCTGCTTGAGTTCGCTGAACTCGCTGGATCCTTCCGTGGACTCCTCCAGCACGTTCTCCTGCTCCTGCATGTCCAGATCTGGCTGTTCCCCACAGGGGTCGCCCAGCTCTGAGTCCTGAAAGCCGTGTTCTTCCACCTGTCCCATCAGAGGCTCGGGTGTCTCCAGACTCTCCGAGCCCTCGTCGTTGGTCTGCACCTCGATCTTAATCACGATCCCGTCATGTGCTGAGGGGAGGGGAGAAGAGAAGAGTCCAGAACACATTCATGCCACCCCCCAGGTTTCTGCAGCCCTAGAATTTACATTTCAAAAATTCTAATTTGGGGGACCCTAAAGAAATGTAATATTGAGTTGGCAGTGAGTACACATAGAATTTTCTGGACACTTTGTAGCTTTGAACAGCAACCCAAACTGGCGTCAAGTTAAAATAGATGCAAAATTTGTTGTCCACTGATCCCCACAATATTTTAAAAAATATTCAGCATTGTCAGGGTTTATTTTAAAGAGGCCCTCATTCCCCTCCCCGGTTAGGACCGGCAGGCAACTGGTACATTCGACAGTTTTTCACTCGCAATCAAGTTGAAAGAAGAAAAGGCAGCCCACCTCCTCCCCACTCGCTGGGCCTTTGGCCCCAGCGCCAAAGTGTCCGACAGACAGACCCACATTTCCGAGCTCATACACATGTACCGTAGGAGTGTTCGGGTTTGTTTTTAGTTAAACAGCATCCTATTACACACATTGCTCTGAATTCATGTGTTTTTCAGCTTGCCTGTAAGTCTGTAGGTTAATTTCAAATGCATCCTTACACACGTAGGCATCATTTTACATAATGGGATTATAACACACATTTTTGGTTTTTAGTGCAGTATTTTTTTTTCTTTTAATTTCTTTCCCCTTCCCTCATTTCCCATTTCATTGCTGTCACCTCCCAGGTAACTCCCATAATTAAGTAGGATTTTTCTCCATGCTTGTGTAGTTACTCATAACAATACATATACACTTATGTCTTTATTTTCTGGCCATTCATTGTTGGTGTTAAAAAATAAAATTGCCTTATGTCCCTCCTCTACATTTCTTGTCTCACTCAAATACCTTGTGGAAATCTCTTCAAACCAATTTCTATAGTGCTAACATGTTCTTTTTAAATGTTGCATGTATTCCATCGTGGGGATAATACTGTAATTTATTCGTTCTTTCCCTAATGGAAGAACATTCACTTTTTGTTCCCAGTCTTTTGCTATGGTGAACAATACCGCAATAAACATTTATTTGTATCTCTAACCACAAAACAGTGGTTTTATTCCTATGAGATTCCCAGGAGTGGGACTGCAGAGTCAGGAGGTGTACACAGTTTTAATTTTGACAAATGTCATCAGACTGCTTTTCAACAAGGCTGTGACAATTCACATTTCCGCCAGCCTGAATACGAGTATCCTTTTCCCCACATCCCTGCCAGTAACAGACACTTTTTCTATTTTTAATTTTCTTCAGTCAGATGGGTATAAAGTGATAACTTACTGATACTTTGATTCCACTTCTCTGATAGGGTAAGTCTGCATATGATTTCCTCTATTTATTGACCTTTTAGATTTAATTTTGTGTGAACTGTGTAAGCACATCTTTGGACTCAATTCCAATCAGGTTGTCTTTTCTTATTGATCTGCAAGCATTCTTTGATTTTTTTTGTATTAAAGATAACCCATTGTGTCTTATCTGGATTTCAAGTATTTCCCCCCAAAATCTGTCATTTGCCTGTTATTTTTATGTGTGGCACCCTTTGCGTACACGAAAACTGTTGGTGGCTTTTAAAAGGTTTCCATGTGGTCAGGTGTGTCCCTGCTTCTTTTTATGGCTCCTGAGTTTTCTGTCTTAGCTAAGAAAGTTTCCTCTGGTCCATCTGGTCTCCTAGATTGCATCCCACAGTTTTCATTGTCTTACTAACATTTAGGTCTTTAATCCACTTGAAATTTATTTTTATTTTATGTATTCTGTGAGGTAGGGATTCAACTTTATTTTCTTCATATGGATTGACATGTGCAAGTGTAAACCCCTCTTACAGGTTGAAAATCACTTCCTTAGTTGAGGAAATGTGTAATGCATAAATATATTCATGCATTCACTGAGTGTTTATTACCAGATAATTTACTGGGCACTAACAATATGTTATGGGGTGTTCTAACGCTTGGGATATTATCAGTGAACAAAACACATACCTTACACGGGGCAGTAAACACAATAAATAAATCACATTGTATGTCAGAAGGTGATAAGAGCTGTGGGAAAAAAACAAACCTTGGGCGGGCGCAGTGGCTCAAGCCTCTAATCCTAGCACTCTGGGAGGCTGAGGCACGAGGATCACTTGAGCTCAGGAGTTCAGAGACCAGCCTGAGCAAAAGCGACACCCTGTCTCTACTGAAAATAGAAAAATTAGTCAGGCATCGTGATGCGCGCCTATAGTCCCAGCTACAGGAGGCTGAGGCAGGAGCATCACTTGAGCTTGGAATTTGAGGTTGCAGTGAGCTATGATGATGCTGCCGCACTCTACCCAGGGTGACAGAGCAAGACTTTGCCTCATAAAAAAAAAAGAACCCCCCAAGACGAATGAATGAAGCAGCTGCAGTCCTGTCCTGGTGAAGCTCCTCAGGCTCTCCTGCTAAATACCCCCATCCACAGTGACCACCCCACTTAGGAACCAGATCACCTCATCAGGCTAAACACTGCTGCTTCTGACCCAAAGCTGGGTGCTTTCTGATGCTTGGCCATCCTTTGACTCCTCTCTGATTGGCCAACTCAACTCTCTGGAGGTAGACGGAATATAAAGCAGCTCTGATGTTCCCATGCTGCACCCCCACAACCTTAAATGCAGACCTTTGCTACTTTCCCTCCAACTGAGGGAGTCTCCCACTCTTGCTCTCCAAAGATATCTGTATCCTATTTGCTATTAAAAGAAAAAGAAAAAAAAAAAGTCATCCACATTTATAGCCTTGACTTCCTCCTGTGCTAGCTCGAAGTTACCATCTTTACCTCCCTTTACCGTCCAATCTCAGGAAAAGTAGTGTCCCTCTTCTCTCCTCCTATAACCGAAATCCTCTGCATCTTTCCTTAACACTGCCCATACTTTTCTCCCTGGAATTCTGCTCGCTAGCTGTGCCCTTTTCTCCTTTGTCTTCAATCCTTGTCTCTGCTCCTTCCACAAACACAACCATGACTCCAGCATCAGAAAAAGTTCTTCCCTGACTTCACAGACTCCTGAAAATACTTTGTTTGCCTGTACCTTAAAATAATTTTTCAAACGATGTGCCCCTCTGCACCTTCTTGAATAAATATACAAAATATATCAGTAACTGCAAAAGACGTAATTTATGAAGTATTGTAAATATTGATATTTTGGAATAAACTCTTCCATCACCTTTTAATGTCACCAATGGAATCTGAGACCCTAGCAATTTTAAACCCACGATTATTCACTTAGAAAATACATGAACAAGTTCTTCTTTGATAGTTGGAATTTTTATGTCATTCCTTTTCACCTTGAACTTCTATTTCCATTCCTACTTTGCCCACAGAATTCTATCCTAATAGAACATATTTTTATGCCTAGAAGCCTTTTACTGATCACTTCATCTACCAGTCTGCCACAAAAATGTGTAAGTAAATTGAAAGTTTAATTTTGCTTTCATTTCTAATAACCACAGGGCTCCAAGTGTTCATTCTTTCCTGGCTTAAGTTATCCTTAGTGATTATTACTATAGAATGATAAACAATTATCCAAAACAGAAAACAAAAAACTTTTGGAAATGTATCTCTTACAAGGATGAATAGAAAATCTTTTCCAATTAGTTCACTTATCTGAGAATGAATAGTCTTACTGTAGAATAAGACAGAGTTCGGAATCAATTTTAGTCTATTCTTCATTTTTACAAATGAAACCTCATTTACATTGGGAAACCTCGTTTACATAAATAGGTAGATGGGCTGGAAGGAGGTTGTTACAGAACTGCCTTGATTCTCTGAACTTCTGAATTATCTGCCACAAAATCACATGGTTAACATATCACCAAAAATTTTTTTTTTTCTGTCCTAGGGCTATGGCCAAAAAAGTTCTTTTTAATAACCTATTAGCTCACTTGATTAGGTGGTCTTCAATTTTGTTGAAAGCTAAATATTGCAAACAACCTAACTTGCAGAAGAATTTGCCATTCAAGTCCCAGAGCAATGTGCTTCTTGGACGTGTACCCCAACATTCCGGATTATCTGTTTGGTGACCCAGGGGGCCCAAAACCTGGAAGAAATGCTCCACAGTAAGACAGGGATGGGCAGGAGGATACGCAGGAGTTGCCTTTTTTTTTTTTAAATCTTGAGAGATGTAGGAGATGAGGGCCCACATTTCAGGGACCCCATGTGTTGTATGCTCTCGGCTGATCAGTTTTATAAACGAAAACAGATGGACTAAGGACCTGGAAATTGCACCCTCAAAGCCATCTATGTTGTGCCTCTCTTGGAGAGTCTCCTTGTCTTCTGAGAGCATGGGTACTCCAGCCTGAAGACCAGGGCCTTTAACACCCTGAACTGCAAGACCCCACTCAAATGCACGCTGCTCCACTAAGCTTCTTGCAGTACTCTCAGCTACGTGTGCCGCGGAACCCCCGGCACTTTCCTGCCAACTCTTTCTGCCTGGAGACACGCACTATTCGCACACTTTCATGCCGCCCCTCCCCCATTACGCAGTAGGGAGGCCAGTGTTTCTCACCAAAAAGGTCTCCCCACGCCAAACAACTTCTGAAACAGTACTGACAACCAAACTGCATTCATAAGACACTCTGTGAGAATATAGTTTATGACCAAAGAGAACATTTCAAACCAATAGAAAAAAGTTTTAAATAAACGGAAACAACAGGCTTCCTGACTGGAAGGGGAAAAGGCTACCTTCACATGTTTCACATCAAAATAAACTCCTGATGTGGCCGGGCGCGGTGGCTCATGCCTGTAATCCTAGCTCTCTGGGAGGCTGAGGCGGGAGGATGGCATGAGCTCAGGAGTTCGAGACCAGCCTGAGCAAGAGCCAGACGCTGTTTCTACTATAAATAGAAAAAATTAGCCAGGTGTGGTGGTGCGCGCCTGTAGTCCCAGCTACTGGAGAGGCTGAGGCAGGAGGATCTCTTAAGCTCAGGAGTTTGAGGTTGCTGTGAGCTAGGCTGACGCATGGCACTCACTCTAGCCTGGGCAA